TTTTGGTTTGGGAAATTTGTTTTGGCGGGGATGGAAGCAAGGAGTTGGAGGGAAATGCGTGCTGTCGGGGATGATCTCGTTAACGCGGACGGGCGTTGTGTGTCTGTTACGGCGATGCGCGGTGAAATGAGCGAAGAGTTTTATCCATATGATGTATTAAGATTTAGAAGCATCGGGTGACAGGCATGAAAACGAATAACAATCTCGCACGATCGACAGATCGACGGCAATATCCCTGCAACGAACGACGACATGAATATTCACGCCGGAATATTCATTCTCGTTCAGACTGGAATGCATGACCCTCTCGCGATCTCCCGCGATACGATCGAAGCACTTGGAAGCCCCGCGTGACGTGCCGCACGTTCCCCGCGCCCCGATCCCCCGGGAAAGGCGACGGAAAGGGGTGACTGTCCCCGGGTCCCCGACCTCGACCGACTCGTCCCCGACAGACCTCCCAGCAGACCTCCTTCCGCCTCGGACGCGAGCGGAATACGAACCGCGGGAGCCCGTCGGAGGGATACGGACCAACGAGTAACGGCATCTGCGGGAGGGGAACTGGAAATTCTCGTTCGCTGTTTTCCGCAGTCGTTTTGGGTCTCCCGTCGGGGAGTGTGGCCGGACCCACGGACTCTCGCCTTCACGTGAGTGCCTGACGGTGCCGTTATCGATCGCGGTGCCGTTACCGTTATCGATGGGCGGTTCGAAACGATCGCCGCGAAATCCCAAATCTTTTCGAAAGCGAGCCTTGAACTGTGAAAATTCATAGGATCGAAACTTTTCCTTTTTTTTATTTTTTATTTTTTATTCTCGTCGTTCGTTTTGCTCTTCCATCGTGGAAAATCCGTGAAAATCGTTTCTGTGCGGACGTAGACCTCACCGACCTTCTCGCACGAAACCGGAATTTTCGTCTCGCCTCGGCCACTCGTCCGTGACGAAAAGATTCGCCATCTTCTCACAAAGGGAACACGTTGCGTTACACGAAACGGCCGCTTCGAGCGAAGAACGACCGGATGGAGTCCCGTTTCTTTTCCCACCTGGCACGGCCGGAGAGAGAAAATTAAAAAAAAAAATCCTCGGAATCGGAATTCATCGAGAAGCGAGGCCTCGCTCCCCTGTCCCGTTGCTCGGAACGGTCGCTCGAAAAAGCAGGCCAAAAATTTCCGACCGAATTCCGTCGCGGTGAAAGGACCGGTAACGACCCGGAGTCCGATCCGGCGCTTCCGGAGTCCCAGATTCCCCTTGATGGAATTTTTCCTTTCTTCCGAAATCGAAACCGGCTAACGCGGACGCACTCGACCGACATCGCATGCGCGTGAACGCGAGCGGAGGTGCGTGAGTCGAGATGCGGTGCGAAGATCCGAGGAAATTTGAGGATTTGAGGGGACAGGCAGAGCCATCTATAGATGGCTCTGCCTGTCCCCTCTCTGCTCTGTGTGGCTCTGCCTCTTGCTTTCGAGTGAAGTGGAAAAATTCGCAGGAATTTTTTTTTTTTTTTAGTTTGATCCGAATGCCGATGATGTGGAGGGTCGGTCCATTGTTGTCGATCGCGTACGAATAGATATTAATTGATATTGATAATGTGATTAATATTCTCCAATCCGCAAGAGCGTGCCGACGTGCGTTTCACCGGACTCAAAAAAGAGAGAGAAAACACGGAAGGGCAGCTTCGTTCCCTCGTGGTCACTGGAGAGGAAAAAGACGGACACACAAAAAAAAAATGGGGTCCGTTCGACCGACCATCTGCCGCCTCGCGTGGTCGTCGGCCGTGATCGTCGGCCGATCCTGCCCGATTTCCCCTCCGGAGGCCCCGCGGCGTGGGAAAAAGGCCGGATCGAAACGCGAAGTCACGTGCCCGAGCGCACGAGAGGGCCTTGACTCCGTGAGGACCTTGACTCCTGGGGTCGGCCCGTGCCGATCGGGAAACGCCGATTTCTCCAAAGTTTCCCTTAAAAATTTGCCGTGTTTGAAAACTTGTAAAATTCCGATTTGAAAAATGAAACTAAAACTCGTTCTACGATTTCATAGGATCGAAGAATAACTCTACTTCCATGCCTTCCCATGCATCAACCGATCTGCACAAAAAAAGAGAATTTAAGGTAAAGAATTTAAGGTAAAGAATTTAAGGTAAAGAATTTAAGGTAAAGAATTTAAGGTAAAGAATTTCAGGTAAAGAATTTAAGGTAGAGAATTTAAGGTAGAGAATTTAAGGTAGAGAATTTAAGGTAGAGAATTTAAAGTAGAGAATTTAAGGTAGAGAATTTAAAGTAGAGAATTTAATTATCTCCGAGCGAGGTGCATCAGAGATTCGTTTGCAAAAACGAAAACGTTTGTCTCGGTGCAGAAAGAGATCCCGGCTCTTGCGTTTCGCAGGTCAGAGGAAGAAGACGACGGGAATTTTTGCACATTTATTTAGCGTGGTCGCGCGCGGCAACTCTTTCGAGGTGAGCTCGGGGATTCCAGCAATTTTTTTTATGGATTTTTTTTTTGCGGCGGTGGAATGCCGCGAAACTGCCGCCGCGAGACGGCACGTTTCTCGCGGTTGCGGAAGGCTTTAAAGGACCGGTATGGGCCGGAGCCATTCGTCGATGCCAGGCCATAAAACACGCCAAAGGATTCCCGAGGATTCCGCTCCTTCCCGCTTCATATATCTCCTTCGATCGATGGCTTGGCACGACGTCCGGTTCTTCCGCCCAGTGCGTCCGGAAAGACGAGCCCGTTCGGGAACTCGCAAATCGTGACTCTTTGTCCCACGGCCGAGTCAATGTTGGAACGAAACGGTAAATCGTGACGTGGGTTTGCTTCCCCTCGCGGGATTTTTTCGAGCGCAACAAAGCCGAATCTGCTTAAGAAATTTCCCTCTTTTCTTATTTTCGTGCCGAGAATTCTAATTTTGTGGTTTGCGAGCGGGGAAGACATCCACTGCGAGCAGACGACGATGCCATTCCAGCCGACGATGACGTCACGAACAGCCAAGTCGTCTGCTGGAATCGATTCGCCTTGTTTTATCATATGTGTGCAATGGCACCATCCTACATCTTATAGTCTAGGTGCTCTAGAGCTCTGAAGTAGGATATTTAATGATCATCCAGCGCACAAGCCTTGAAGTCCCCCCCCTTTTTTTTTTACCTTAAAGTCACATTTTTTTTTTACTTTGTAGTCACCGAGGACTTAGCAATAAAATTTGCCTATCCTCGTGCGTTAGTGTTATCATGGGTTCCGATATCGAACGCCTTTAAGCCGTTGAAAGGACGCTCTCTCCTTGAACGTCCTTGTGAACACGAAAACTGTAAACATTCCCTTGTGGGTTATTGCCACTCACCGATGCAGACATCGTGCCGGGTGGCCCAAAAAAAGGTCTCGAACTTAACACGCCTGCAGACGGTGTACCATATGAGTTATCGACAGGAAATTTACAGGCTTTTGCGTGAAATATTTTCAGGTAAGGTAACAAAAATTTCATTGAAATTGGTAGTAAAATACGTGAGCAACAATTTTTCTCCCGCGCAATGTTGAAAGAGCGATTGTGCAAAGAAACAAGCTGACCTCAATTAAAGAAGTGTTTGATGGGTCTTCTATGGATGTGACCTCCTCGGATCGCCCGCCGAGGCAGCACGACGCTAACGCACTGACACGCTTGCTCGTTTGCACGGAAAGAGCTCTTAATCGTGTTCAGAGCAGGGAATTTCATTGAAAATTTCCTGAAACCATCTACATATGTTGGGTAAGACGCACTGAAAATATCAAGACGATGCTTAGCATGGTGTCCCCTCTGCAGACACGGGACTTTTTTTGGACCACCCTGTATTACACCATGTGAATGATGAGGATGGGACATCCGAACAACAATTAAGGGATACGCCTCGGGGACGTGGTCGAGTTGGGCCATTTCGGTGTCCAAGAGATATTCAATGGAAATGGTCATAGGATTAATTACTGCGTAGGAACAATAGCCTTGTTTCGACTGAGACGCTATCCTAGGATGGTCCTGGGATGGTCCTGGGATAGTCATCCCCTGGGGATCATCGGAAACATTGACTTTCACCTTCCATCTGCTGTGAGATGCGCCTCCGGGTAGTCCAGCCAAATCCCAGGTCTGCTCTGAGGCTGTCCAAGGTCTAGGTCTCAGTCGAAACGCGTATGTAAGATAAGCATCTTGGGATAAGTGAGCCCAACTCTTTTCCTGCTTCTTTCACTATGCCTCCCATTTCTTGAAAATGATTGCTATTGCGATTTGAACGAAAGGTGTGTGAGCACTCAAGACTATTGCGGGAGATAAATAACCTGAAACAATTCGTCATGCAGAAATTGGCCTTCCTGTCAACCCCGCGCAATTTCTTGTAATCCGTATAGCTCCGCTCTTTCGTCCAAGTCATTCGCTGACGGTATTTAGAAAATCTCAAGTCATTCATTGCTAGCCGGTCCGTTTCCCTCTGCAAGGAAAACTGAATGACAGCTGCTTCTATTGCATGACGTTTTCGACCATCAAGATGCTCATTGAATATAGTACTCGCAAAAAACAATCAATCACATTAATCTTCAATCGTACTACTGGTCTTCACTGTTTAAGGTGCATTGTGGAGTAGCCTAAAGGACAGTCTTGACAGAATGCATCCAAATAGCTATAATCCAGGAAATCTTCCTCAGTTGGAATAACAAGGTTCCCAATCTCAGATAGACACTAATTCCAGAGTTGACAGATTTGACAGTTTAGCCAGGTCATCCTGGGATGCATGATAACTCGATTATTAACGACCTGAATCACAAGAAAGTGCTTTTCTAGAATAAACTTTAGTCAAAACATAGCTCATATAGCCTAATATTAGCCAGAAAAAGAGAACAACTTTTTTTTTCTGGGTAGAAGGGGAGCAAAAAAGTGGATTCCATATGCTGTCATTAAAGTACGTTCGAGGAGCCATTAAGGCCATTACCCTTAAGGCATTAACAGCTTCAAATTCTCCTATTGCAGGATTCCCATAATTGTTTGAGCAGAGCTAAGCATGCCTCCAAATACAAAGGAATTAGAGGCGGACATCCAAGCGACAGGGAGGCTCTACGAATATGAGGCCCTGCCCCAGGAAACGCCGAACGTCGGGACGGGATTCACGGACAAGGTCTACAAGAAGGACTACGTCTGGAGGAACATCATCCTCTTTGCCATCCTTCATGCTGCCACGCCCGTTGGGATCTACATCGGACTCACCAGGGCTTATTACTCTACTATTGTGTTCGGTGAGGTTTCTTGTAAATGCATTTGCTATAACACGGATACTTTTGCTCATCATGCATGAATTTCGAACTTCCATACACTTTCTTCCTTTTTCATGATTCTCTTTGATATAATAATGCTTGATTTCTTTATTTTTCATTGATTCGGATCTTTACTCACATATTGCTTTATTTCTTCCTGCCCGTTAAAAAAGGCTTACTTCTCGGTGTGGCATCCTCAATTGGAATAACGGCCGGAGCTCATCGCCTCTGGGCTCATCGTAGCTACAAAGCGAAATTCCCATTTCGCCTTCTTCTCGCTTTTCTCGACACCTGCGATATCCAGGTCAGAACCGAGCTTCGCTACACCGCAAAGCCAGCAGACCCTCCATAACGAATTCTAACCATGCGTCTCCCTCAGAATGACATCTACGAATGGAGTCGGGATCATCGACTGCATCACAAGTTCAGCGAGACGGATGCAGACCCTCACAACGCGAAGAGAGGATTTTTCTTTGCCCACATGGGATGGCTTTTGGTCAGAAAGCACCCGGAGGTGATCAGGAAGGGGAAGACTATCGACTGCAGCGATCTCCTCGAGGATCCCATCGTATATTACCAGAGGAAGTCCGTATTTCTTGCCTCTAAATATTTTAATATTGTGGGGCGGATTTTAATCACTCGTGAAATATTCTTCTCGTCTTGCAGATACTATTTACCATTGGCATTGTCTTGCTGCTTCGTGTTCCCGGCAATAACCCCTTGGCTGTTGTGGGGAGAAGATCTCTATGTTGCGTTCATGTTTTGCTCCATCGCTCGCTACTGCGTGTTTCTGAATGGGACGTGGTTGGTGAACAGTGCAGCTCACCTTTGGGGACCTAAACCTTACGACAAGTGAGATATCAACATTCCGCCTTGTAAAGATATAATATAAAATATTCCTGTGCTGCTTCCTATACAATGGAGAAGTCTATTGATGGTTGCAGGCTCGAATATAACGTTTGGTAGAGTGAAACCATCTCAGTTCGGACGCTAACGTATAGTGTTACAAAACTAAGCATTTTTGAGGTGGCCCTTTGAAGCCCTTGGCCCTTCGCGACTAGGAAGAACTGTTTCTGAGTCTGATCTTGCGAATGTTCAGTCTCATAACTGTGTACTGTAGTGTCCGAACTTGGATAGTTTCACCTTTGTTTTTGGATACGGACCTGTTCTTTAAAGGCTCTGAAGTGGCATGATTAAAAATCTGGTCTAACCCCCTTGCACTTGATTTGTCAGATTCAGCAATATCCCACAAATTTAAAATGTCTTCACTCAGCTTCAGTGAAGATATCAACACCTTTTTAGAGAAAGATTTTCGAGGGAGATTGCATTTTTGTTATAATTTTTATGACGAGGATGACGCGTTTGAACTCTAATGCGACCGAATTGAAAGTATGGTCGTATACCTTACGGTATGCTGCTCCTGCCGCAGCTCTGAGATATCTTGCATTGCAAGGTCTGCAGTGATATGACATTTGAATGGTGAAAAGACGAAGCTTGTGCTCCATGGCAATAGATCTCACCTCCTCATAGTGTGTCAAAAACCTAAAATTACCGCTGGGCGGGGAAAAAAAATTCCGCCAGAGACTGATAGAAGGTGTTATTATAATCAATATTTCCTTTCTTCGTGGAACTTCAGCTACTATGTTATTTCCCCAAGAAATGTACACGATCCTATACTAAAGAGCCTTCGACTTATTTATATTTTACAGGCGTATCGGACCGGTGGAGCAGGTGATCGTAGGAGGCCTGGCATTCGGAGAGGGCTGGCACAACTACCACCACACCTTCCCCTGGGACTACAAGACCTCGGAGATGCCCTGGTACCACGTGAACCTCACGGCGCTCATCATCGACATNATCGGACCGGTGGAGCAGGTGATCGTAGGAGGCCTGGCATTCGGAGAGGGCTGGCACAACTACCACCACACCTTCCCCTGGGACTACAAGACCTCGGAGATGCCCTGGTACCACGTGAACCTCACGGCGCTCATCATCGACATCGCCGCCTATTTCGGCCAGGCCTATGACCGCAAATCGGTGGACTTGAAGATCGTGGAGCAACGGGTGAGGAGGACCGGAGACGGCTCTCACTACAAGTGGGGCGACAAGGCCAAACGACAGGAGCAACAGTGGGACCCTCATCCGACGGGCATCAACCCCAAGCTTCTCAAAATCCATTAATATTGTGCGAACGCCAAGGACCGCGTGGAAGGCGATATGTGCAGTGAATTATTCGGCGAAGAAACTCTGCAGACCTCGCAGGGAGAAAACTAGGCGATACTCACTTGCTACTTCCACGTGCCTCGTTAATTACTGACCTCGTAGTTAGACACACTTTGCGATAATTTCCACCGGAATAATTCAAGTGGACAAACTCGATGCGAACGGTGACTGAACCGGTGAAGTAACTCTACTGACCTCTCGGGCGGTGGGGGAACCAGAAAGACACTATTCACTTTGCCACATCAACTTGCCTCATTTGTTATTGACTTCGATATTTGGTACACATGCCGATAAACCTGCCCCAAGGAATTCGATTTAACCAAAGCGACTGTGTCTGCGTTTTTTTTTTTTTTTTCTCGGAGGTCTGCAGACTATTATTTCTGTCTTTCGTGATAATCGAATAAATATTGTCAATCAAAAATGACCTGGGAGGTCTTCACTCTCGTTTCCTTCGAAAATTTTCAACCGCAGGGGATTTATTTGGAAATTTTGAACATTTGCTCCTCATCGTGATGATGCACAGGAATTCTGGAATTCATTGGCGCCGAAAAGTGTGAATTCGTGGCAGTCAGATGAAGGGAAATATTGAAAACATGCTGTGAGTCGTGTCAGGTTAAAATTACTGAAATTTCTGATGTTGAAAAAAGAAACTGACTCACTGATTCATGAATTTTGCAGATATGAAATCACATTATGATGATAAAATCTTCAAGAGCCGAGTCGGCTTCGAGCGAAAGTGACCTGTCCTTGGCAGTCCTTGAAAGTGTGTCAATTGACATACTAGCATCGTAATTCATTCTACTAGCCCTGGCCTAGCGACGCAAGATTAAACTTTTAGAACTAGGGCAAGATGATATATGCTGGCAGGATGATGAACAAGACGAAAAGATGTCAATAAAAAAAATTGAAGCCTGATGTGGAAAAAAAAGCCAACAGGTTGAACTATACAGAAGACAAAACAGACGAATAGCTTTGAGTCACGGCATCTCAAATCTCCCAAAAATTGGCTTGAATGTAGCTGGCACGAGGCGTGCTCCAATTCAATCCAAGGGTGACTATTTCGATTTTTACTCATGAATTTTTACTCATGAATTCCCCCCCCCTCCCCCCTACTTTTTTCCCATGCCCCTACGTTTAGAGTTTTTTTTTTCACAAGTTGAAATGTCGATGGATAAGCAAAAACAGATTGCGTGAAGGGTGTGCCATATTACGAGAGGCACCGCTAAAGTAATAACAAAATTTACTAAAACAAAAAGTATAATAAATATGCATATACGAGTATACTTTTCCACATGATTTCCCTCCGCATCCATGCGCTCATACCATCACGGCAAACGCTTCAAGTATCCCTTCGCTGAAAAAGGATACGCCAATTTTGTTTACCTATTTGTTCGCAGCAGTTTCGATGTCTTTGTCATTGTTGAACGTGACACGATGCAACTCATCTTTCACTGTGCGAAACAATTGAAAATCGCTGGGGCTAAGTAAGGTGGATCTCTCACCCCTTATCCACCGCCAAGTCCCGCGTCTTTCGTGCAGCAGGGTGCTTTGCATTGTATTGCTGAAGAAAGGCCCCTTTCTCAATTTCCTAAATTTTGCATTTCACATGTCTTTCCGGCTTCGATGTCTCGATGCATAGGTTGGCATGCACAGGTTCTCCCCTCGGGAGGTAGTCAATCAAAAATCAAAACGGAATAATGATTCCATTTTGGAGAGCTGGAAAGACACGCGAAACACATTTATCCTGAACTTCTCTTGAAAGGTGTCAGTCTCACAAAAGACGCGGGACTTAGCGATGGACGAGGAGTGCGAGATCCACCTTATCCCCCTGCCATTTTCACTTTTTTTGCACCATGAAGGATGAGTTGCAGTTCAGCAGTGACAAAGATATTGAAACCGCCGCGAACAGATGGGTAAAAAAAAGTCGGCGAGTCATTCCTCAGTGAATAGATACTGAAGCGTGTGCTGTGATGGGATGAGGGTGACCATGTGGAAAAGTATATCTGTTTTACTTCTGCTTTAATAAAATGTTACCTCATTACTTTGGTAGTGTAGTGTTTGCAGTTTTTTAGTACTAATATGAGAATTATAGCTCCTAAATACAGGCAGTCCTCGCACTTACGACACAATAGTTTCCTGAAAGGCGCGTCGTAAGTGCCGTGCGTCGTAAGTCGAGGACTGCCTGAAATCCATCTTACCCCGCCTCATTTAAACAAAACGGAAATGGAACGTCGACAGAAATGTTCTCATTTGGAATCCTCCACTTTTGAGTGCTGGGGGTCAATTCGTTTCTCCCTCGGTTCTTCGAATTTTTTCATTTTGTTTCTTTCGTCCCCGTTGAGAGGTTTTTCTCAAGGAAGTTTGACTCGAGAAATAAGTACAAAAAGCCGTGAAATTTCTTAAGGATTTACCAGTCCACTCGCTGGATGAAAATTTTTAGCCTTCAAAGCGGAAATCCAGAACAGTGTAGCTTCAGTGTTGTTGGAGGAATTGCCCTGCACTGCCAGGAGCTGGATCATTTCCCCGCTTCTGCTGAATCCAGTCTGGAACTCCTCCATCAGAACGCATGTATCGGAATTCCTGTATCAGAGTCCTCCCATGCGATTCAGTTTTGCGGAGGGAGAAAACCTGGAAGGTGCACGGATCTCAGGCCTTGCGTCACTGGGATGGATGTCTGCCGCTGCAGAGCGCCTTTACATGCTGTGACGTCATTGGGGGTTCTTCGATTCGAGCAGGAAAACGATTTCAAAATGAATTCGTACCACTTTTAACATGCACTCCCCAAGTCTTATGTCTTCTCTTTCATGGGTTGCCAATCGCCGATGTGGGTTCTTATTTAACCCCACGACTCCCCGCGGTCGAACTCGTCACGCCCATACTGATTCAGTGGCCTTGATTCTGCCAGATGTTTCTTCGTGACCATGTAGAGATTGTATAATTTATAGGTCACATTGAGAGGAAAATAACTCTTGGAAAAGTGGCACAGTGTCTCATGATTAATGAAGAGAAAACGGTCATGAAAATCTGCAAGTGAAATTCGGACGTCGAACTGAGAAGCAAGCGACATCTCTTGTACTCAGTGAGAACTAATTCTCTCTTTAGGAATTTAGAGCAAGGAACAGGTGGGAAGATGGGGTCGACTCATCCGGAGTTGTAACTGTGATTCAGATTGCTTTGAGTAAAATCGACAAAACAAGACATGAACAAACTTATTATTGACATGAACAAACTTATTGACAAACTTATCGATAAACTAGTCGATGCCGAATGGAAGATGAGGGCCTGGCCGTTGTCCTAGGCCTAGCCTAAGTCGTAGGCCTCGACCGATGCCCTCGCCGGATTTTGGGTGGATGCAAGGACTTAGTGGGAACGGCATGGGCTTCCTTCCTTGTCTTCTCTCTCCCTTTGTGAAAGCGGGAGGATCTCGGCCACCCCCAGCTTTTTTCGCTGATCAGGAGGGAAGAGAGGAAACAGGGAAAGTAGGCAATCCTCAGTCAGGAATCTGACTTGCAAGATCTTTCTGAGATTTTCCCAAACTTGTGCTTGCGCATTGTCCAGTCCGAAGCGAACTTGGCTGAGAGACACTCAATGAAGCCGGCGGTCACTTGGAGACTCATATGACTTGAGCAAGATGCTTAAAGTGCACCTCGAGCTCCCCCCCCCCCCCCCATTTGACAATGAAATGAAAGATTACAGCTCATAAATAACAAGTAAATATTTAGACTTAAAAACGGCTTATTTTCATTTGGTATTGTCATGAACAGCAAATTACAAGCCAAGACATTGAGAAATTCGAAATTGGGCAAACAATAGCCCTGGGTGATGGTACTTCACCAAATAGCCAATTCAGAAGTCCATGAATCCAATCGAAAGGAAGCGAAAGACAGTAATTTTTTCCAATCACTTAATTGAAATATATAATCTATCACGGATGATAAATCTCTAATGATATATATATGTATATGTATATATATACATTTTTTATCGCAGACAGGTGGGGTACGTTTGACCCGATTTGTTCGGGCAGAAATTATCGGCGAGATGGTCAAATCATGAGATATGCCAATCGAGAAGTAAAGGCATATTGGGGTGGATAGTGTTGTACACTCATTTTGCATTGTACGCAATCCTTGGCTGGTTCTCGATCTAAATTTTCTCAGTGGATTTTGAGAAGCTTGGGATTGATGCCCGTCGGATGAATTCCGTGAGGTTCACGTGGTACCAGGGCATCTCCGAGGTCTTGTAGTCCCAGGGGAAGGTGTGGTGGTAGTTGTGCCAGCCCTCTCCGAATGCCAGGCCTCCTACGATCACCTGCTCCACCGGTCCGATGTGCCTGTAAAATAAGTCGAAGGCTCTTTAGTATAGAATCGCGTACATTTCTTAGGGGAACAACATGGCAATTGAAGTCCGCCGAAGAAAGGAAAGAATAATGATTATGTAGCTCTCTGTCCTCTCGTAGAAAAAAAAATTGCCTTAGGGTGAGATGGCATGCCATCGAGCACATGCTCTGCCTTCCCTCCCTTTAAATCCCCCATTACAGCAACGTCGCAAGCCGAGACAGCTGCAGCCGGAAGAGATCATCGCCGTCGGGCATAGAGCAAGGAGGCTGAATCCTCAGATACGGCCTTTTAAACTGGCGACGTGTGCCGTTAGAACATAAATGCCCTCACGAGCATGCTACAGAGGACTCGTTCATGAGAGGCTGTTGGTCCAAAATACTCACTGTCGGATTCGAGTTTATGCCCGCTATCGAAATTAGTATATTGATTAAACGAATGATATATCTCCCCATTTTTTCTCCCCCCTTATATCTGTTTCGGGGGTAACTATCTCCATACACGATGCCACTCCTCGGACTGTACCTTTAAAAAGCTAGTGGGGGAAATTAAATTCCTGAGTACAAATATTCATACTTATGAAAATCTGGGAAAACGAAGGGGAAAAAAGTAATCATGGGATCCGATAACAAATGTATCTTAGAAGGAAGAAGGATTGTAAATGTCTCACTTGTCATATGGTTTGGGTCCCCAAAGGTGAGCTGCACTGTTCACCAGCCAGGTTCCGTTCAGACACAGGCAATAGCGGGCAACGGAGCAAAACATGAATGCGACATAGAGATCTTCTCCCCATAACAGCCAAGGGGTTATCGCCGGGAACGCGAAGCAGCAAAACAATGCCAATGGTATGTAGTATCTGAAACATCGGAAGAAACGTTATTTACTCTCGCTACGAGATCGGCATAGCAAGTTTCAAGCATAAAGACAGGGTATACGGACTTCCTCTGATAATATACGATGGGATCCTCGAGGAGATCGCTGCAGTCGATAGTCTTCCCCTTCCTGATCACCTCCGGGTGCTTCCTGACCAAAAGCCATCCCATGTGGGCAAAGAAAAATCCTCTCTTCGCGTTGTGAGGGTCTGCATCCGTCTCGCTGAACTTGTGATGCACTCGGTGATCCCGACTCCATTCGTAGATGTCATTCTGAGAGAGATGCGTGGTTCGGTGTGTTTATAAAGGGTCTGGTGCTGTTGCGGAGCAAGAGAGCTCATTCCTGACCTGGATGTTAGAGGTATCGAGGAAAGCGAGAAGAAGGCGAAATGGGAATTTCGCTTTGTAGCTACGATGAGCCCAGAGGCGATGAGCTCCTGCTGTCACTCCAATTGAACATGCCACACCCAAAAATATACCTAAAAAGATGAAGTGAGCATCTTTAAAGATTCCCACGAGTAGAAAGTGCCAAATAGATGGAAACATAAAGCATAAATAATTCAGGAAGAATAGTGAGAATGTGTGAATTGAAGAGATGCTTGCATTGAGAACTCCATTTTTTAGTTACATTCGTTGGGGGCCTCACCGAAGAAGATTGTGGAGTAATAAGCCCTGGTGAGTGCGAGGTAGATCCCAACGGGCGTGGCAGCATGAAGGATGGCAAAGAGGATGATGTTCCTCCAGACGTAGTCCTTCTTATAGACCTTGTCCGTGAATCCCGTCCCGACGTTCGGCGTTTCCTGGGGCAGGGCCTCATATTCGTAGAGCCTCCCTGTCGCTTGGATGTCCGCCTCTAATTCCTTTGTATTTGGAGGCATGTTAAGCTCTGTTCAAGCTCTGCTCTGGGGATCCTGTATTTGCAGAAGTAGAACAACGGTTCATCTTTGGGATTTCCATTGTACATTCCACACAATAGCGGATCCTTGCGCCATCCCCATAGGAAGCCTCCTGCGTATGCCAAAACGGTTCACCTCAACTACTCCCCATTTTATGTATCCATAAAATATACTTTCGATGTCCCATTGTACGTGACGACCGAGTGAATAGCCTCCGATGCATGTGCACGGGGATGCCCAGGGAATCAACGTCCTTTCAATTGGCAGAATATAGTTGCGTTTTCTCTTCAAGTCTGCTTTTGGATAAATCCTGTTTGCCGATGGCTTACTTACGTAAGTGGATTATTGATGAAGCAGAAATTGTTAATAATAATGAAATTGAAAAGCTGGAAAGGTTTTCTTGATGTTGTGTATTGAAGAGCAAAGGTAACTGGACAGTTTTTTTTTTCCTATCTCTGTTTGCAGTGTGACAATCAAGTTTTTGAGAGTGAGTTTGATCAAGAATATTTACCTTTAAAGCCCCAGCGATTAGGATTCAGGGAGGCAAGGTTTTCATGTTTCGCGATTGATCCCGTCAAACGTCACGACAGTAATGTAAGCAGCTGCTATGAGTGATGGGAATTAATAATTGATGAGTTTCCTAGGTCGTAATTTTGGATCGGCCTTTGATTTCTCGGGGACAGGAGGTGACAGATGGGGAGAGGCGAATGGCATTTTTCTTCTACACTAAGGATTTTTCCCTGTTTAGGCCTCAAAATGAACTTCGCATTGGAACATGAACAACTTGAGAAAAAACACTGGTGCTTATATGTAAATAATGCAGAATGAACACCTTGGAAATTTTCAGCAGGAAATTTACATGAATCAAGATTCATAGTCAAGGAAATTTCATCGAAATTTAAATGAAATTGTTCGTTTAGACCCCGAGTGAAGGTTTTTTTTTTCCGCGCTGCTCGTCTTGCGTGCTATGCGTGAATATCAGAGTCGGTTTGCAAACGCACGCGTGTCCGCACGTGCCCGCACGTGCCCACGAAAACCCAGAGAACCCAACACCGTTCACGGGTTTCGAGGAGGCGCAGGGGTTGCGTGAGGAATCGGGTTCAAGTCGATTCGTGACGTCCGCAGGCACAGATCTCAGTGGAAGTAGAATCTTATGGAGAGGGGTCACTCATACAGTTATGTTTGTATATCCGAACGCACAGCGTGCAGATATGCTAAGCGCGAGCTCGTTGCATGCATCACTAAATCACTGGTTAAGTATGAAACGGCCTTAACAGTTTTTATTCGCTCGATGCGGAACGAGAGTGCTTGGTCGACGTGGTGGTGTCGACTGTGGTCGGCCGAGCTGCTTCACATTCGTTCGGCCTCATGAAGACTTATTTGGGGCGAAACGGAGATATTTACATATTGACACACATAAATGGGCTGTAAATATTTGAAAGAGAATTCAATATTTACATCCAGAAATGGACACCATTTCCAAATACACAGGCCCGATCAAATTCCATTTTGAAACGAAAACTCCGAAATTTTTGGGCAAATTCCGTGCGTCCGTAATCCTGCTTCTAATCCTAATCAGTGTACGAGGAATGAGGATCACTCACGTGAACTCGGGAAAACCGGACGAGAAATGCACTCCCTGGGGGCCGGCGAGAGACCTACTGCGGAAGAGAACAAGTTTGGACCGTCACCTCCTCAGTCCGTGTTTATTTGCCTCTCTTTTTCCCCTCGCGGAGCCGGAGAGCGACCACGACTGGCCCCGAGCCGGTTCATTCGAATTTCCATCACGGCTGCGCAGGCAGAAGGAGGTCTCCAGAGCCGTCTAGGTCGTGGGGGCAGTCACCCCCCTACTCGCCGTTCCTCGTTCGTCTTCCGGTTCTCGCCTACTTACCTCGTTGGGGAGACACTCTCTCCGGATTTTTTTTTTTGCTTTAATTAATGGAGAACTGGTGTGATAGCGATAGTGGGGATTTTCCTGGAGGTGCATGACTTTTTTTTTTTTTTTAATACCGTTAAAGAATCCGGTGCATTCTGAAAGTTCTTCGACCGGATTTAACGGGAAGGTCCAGGGAAAACTCGAAATTCCAAGATAACGAAGAAACGGTTTTTTATTTATTTTTATTTTGTCGCTTCTCATTATTCACGTTCGCCGAGAGACAAAATCCTATGTAATTAATCATAAACTCCTCTAATTTGAAATGATCTTTGCATTGAAATGCCAAGTCTGGAACATTCATTCCCAGAACCTCCAGATATTCATATCTGAATGGTATGGTAAATCCATAAATTAAAATCCATAAAATCCGCATCAGTGAAATCCGCACTTCGCATTCAAATGGAAGTCAGAACGCGGTAAAAAAAAAAAAAAAATTAGCTAACTTCCCCTTTCTTCATTATTAGGAAATTGCAACGAGCAGCATCTGCACGCTCAACAAATGACCGAAAATCACTCCGGCGAATTAATTACGTTAACTCGCATTAATTACGAATGAGAAAAGCATTGGGCCCATCAAAGTGTTATTTCGTTTCTATTCGAGCATTTATTCCTCCAAGTACCACTTACATTTTATGGGAGTTTTTTATTATAGGGTCATCATGCTTCTCATCTGCCGTGTTATCAAATTGGCTCATAAGATTAGATTAAAATGGATTACGAGGTAATCGATTCGATCAAGTCCGGTTACCTGGTCTACTTCGAGATTCTGGTACCTCCGTGATTAATTAATCTCGCATGCCATTTTCCCGAGGTAATCGAGGTTGATTGAACCCATACCACTTCCGGTCAACCATTTATATATTTCAAATTTCCCCCCAAATAAAAAATTCTTTATTACCAAGGGAAATCAGTCGGGGAATAAGGGCAGTCTTAAGTCCTCGACTGTTTTCCTGCGGTGAATTCCCTCCGCCTTTCGGCGTTTCGCTGCGTTTTCGGACCGTGACGCGATTTTTCGCTTATTTTCGGACGAGGGATGACCGATGGAAGGGAAAGTCGAATGAGAATCGCCTCGTGGGATCGAACCGCCTCAAACGATGCGGAGAGAATCCGGTATCTCCTCGATCGTAAAGACGAAACGGGATCCCTGCCAGCGGTCGTTCGAAAGGGAAGAAATCCTGAAACCCCCCGCAGCCTCCAGCGACTCTCAACAGGGTGATCCTCAACAGGGTGACGCTCAACATGGTGACGCTCAACAGGGTGATGTCCTTCCCCCGAAAAAGATCGACCGCGGAAGCGATCGCCGCGCTGCACGCCCGAGAAACCGCGTTCGCCGTGGCGTGCCTCGCGCTCCGCGGGTCGTCCACGGGAGGCTGGCTCCACTTGCATCTTCGCGGATGCGGAGGGGGTCATGGCCTCGTTTCGTGGCTCTTTCAATCTTTCGCCTTAATTGCAGTAACTGTACTCGGGGCATCGGCTGGAGTATAAATATCCGATTTTTCATTTCGCTCGTCCGTGCACGATAGGGATGAAAAGTTTCTTGGACACTCTCGATACTAGCTCTGAATGTTTTTTTTTCACTCCATTGGGTTTTTTTATTCGTCCGTTTACTTATTTGAATCATTAATCAAGCGTTTGATTCTGTCATGCTGTCTCACGAGCTAGGACGGTCGTAATGGTTTTTTTTTTCCCTCGTAAATCCGGGACATTGAATGGAAAAAACGGGGAACGTTCAATTAGCGGAATCGATTTTTCCGAAGCGGTTCTTCGCGGCGAGGAAGATCGATAATCGCGGCGAGTCGCGTGCGTTTATGGGGATCGTTCTGGGTGGTCTCGGCCATTGAGAGCGTGTTTTGGATTGAGGTCGTCGCCGAAAATATTTCACAGTAGTCTAATGCAGATAGTCGTGACTTTCGACGTTTATTTCTGTTTCTCTCGATAACGTGACAAAAAAATCTCTTAGCAAACAATTAAATAACGACGCGAAAAACGACGTTTACGATTAGTTGCGATCACTCTGCTTGCATGCGTAATTCGTGTAAACAAATGCGCATTCGAGGTGAATTAATGATTTATTGGTTTCTGCGGGCGATCGTTTCCTCGAGTCCGCCAGATCGATGGCGAAACACGCGCGAGAGCGATTGGGATCGGGACGCGGGCCTCCCGCGATTGCCTCCCGCGATTGCCTCCCGCGATTGCCTCCCGCGATTGCCTCCCCCCTTCAAATTCGCATCGCGGCGGTCGACCGCCCGGCCCTCCGAATGCTCTGGGTGAAATCAATCGAATGAGGGAAATTTGCGGATTGATCGATTTCCAGCAGGATCGAAGATCGACGATGTGGCAGCGCAGGCGACACGAAGCGAAAATCGAAATCGGCGTAACGGTAAGCAAAATATATATTACCGCTTCATACATAACGGGTTATCATTTCGAATGTTCTTGGAAGTAAAGTACTTCGTTCAGGTAAAGTTTTGATTTAAGGCAAGCAGCTCCTCCCCTGGGCGGCCGCGGAAACGAGTTTTGCGAATGTTGTGCTGTTTCTCTCCCACGTGCCGAATGTATGGAGACGGTCTTTGGAGGGGAAGTTCATGAGAGATTTTGCTGTGGTTTTTTTCTTCTTAGATTTTCAATGATCCCTTCAAGAAGCAAAATAAATAAATTTAAAATAAATATGATACATTTGAAATTCGAGGGAAAGTAATTATTCACTCCTATTCGTAGAAAAGCGCATTTAATCCAAAAACTTTCGGAACGAAACACGGTTCAGTCCTTCCAGATTGATTAGCGACGAAGAAATTTGAAATCCAATAGTCTCGAGACGCCGTCCCGTGAAGCAACTCGTTCTGCCGTGGGTCGACGATTTTTTCTTGTCTTTTGCCTTATGCGACGCCCATGACGACTTTTTTTTTTGAGTGGGCGCTTAGAGACTACAGATGAGGCCTCTGCACGCACCCCACCTTGCACGTCTCGCACGGCCAGGGAGGAGGAATTTTCGGCGAGAAGGGGGGAAGGAAAGGTGGTGATCCAGCGC